ATTTTAGAGTATTGTAGAATGAAACAAAAACAATGCTTGCTTCCTTTTATTTATTTTTATTTTTTTAAAGATTGATTTTATTTATACAATAGCTGGGGAACAGGCCAGAGGCATGGGAGGGTGAGAGAATTCACCAGAGACAGAGCAGGGAGCAGAACAGATAGACGGATTGAAAGCACTGCTGAGGGGAGCAGCAGGCGAGACAGGAGAGGTGCTGCACCATGTGGATATCTTCCTGGCTGGTCAGGAATTGAACCGTGCTGCAGAGGCTGCAGACAGCTTCACAGTGCAGTGCTCAACCTGCTGCACCACTGGGGAGGCCCAATGCTTGCTTCCTTTTATTTTTTTAAAGATTTGTTTATTTATGCATATAAGAGCTGGGGTATAGGCCAAAGATGAGGGGGGTGAGAGGATCCATCAGAGACAGAGTGGGGAACAAAACAGGCAGATTGACTGAAATACACTGCTGAGGGGAGCAGCAGGTGAGACAGGAGAGGTCTGCTTTGCCATGTGGATTTCTCCCTGGCTGACCCAGGGATCAAACTCGTGCTGCAGAGGCTGCGGATTGCTTCATAGTGTGATGCTTAACCCCTTGCACCACCAGGGAGGCCCCTTGCTTCCTTTTAGACATTAATTGTTGGCCATGTGATCAGAAAGAAATAGAATGTTCATAAACGGATTCCAAGTTGATAAGCATTTTAGGAACATGAATAATAGCTAATATGTGAGAACAAATAAAAGCATATTTATCATTTCAAACCACATGAAAATGCTAATTTGGGGAGGCTAAGACACGGTCAAATTTTGGTGATTTGTTTGTTTCCACTTGTATATATCAATTTCATATATTAGGAGGGTCTGTGCATTCCTATTACCTATTTTAAGTAAAGTGAAATTGTATGATAGTTAACTCTAACCGAGTTAGCCCTCTGTGGATAATCCATGGGGAATGCCAGTTCTCTCTCAACTGGATGCCTTCTTTCAGCTATTTGTGCAAAACATCAATTGTAACATGGTTATGACTGGAAGAAGGGAAGCGATGTTAACTCATCTAGTTACTTAAAATAGTATTTCAGTATTTTAAAACTCCAGAAGTCAAGAAGGAGTGGTTATAACACATTTGGGAGATTATCTGGGTGTACCTTGCGGCTACATTGTCTTAATGACCATATATATTGATTACCATGTATAAAAGATATTTGAGTAGGCTATAGAATATTGTGTTTCCAGATGAGAGCAAGATAATATCAAATTTCTGAGAATATCTGCAGATTTTTTTTTTCTGAAGGGAGAAAAAGTGATTTACTACTCACAAGGGTGAGTCCTTGCTCAGACTTAGTAGGTATGAGTTCTCATTAGTTCCATCAGTGTAAATCTGTGGGACACTATTAAGTGCCCTGACCTTTCTGGAAGCATTCTGTTTGTTACTTTACCAACAGCCTTATACAACTGTAATCCACATGTCTGTAGCCATAACTCTGTGGTTCTTAGGAGACCACCCCCACAGGTTTGGAATCAATGGATTAGAAACATTGCTAGCCATTTAAATGTCGCATTCTAATTTCTATTCATCTCAGAGGGATTAGCATGAATTGACAAAATGCAAACAAACTGGAAATTTGAAAACATGAAAGTGAAGAGACTTAACTGCATGAGCTGGTAATTATGTATGAAAACTTTCCATTCGATGGGTGGCCAGAAACCAGCCAATTGATCAGCCAGTATACGCTACTGGTGCTGGCTGCAGCCTGAAAGGAAATAATCTAGATAATTGTTTGATTGGATGCTATTTAATTAGAGAAGCTGGAACTCCCAAGAATCTCACTCCAAAGTAAACATCTTTTCAATCATATTGGTTCAATAAAAAAATCCAAAGATGTTGCGTTGATGGCAGGCATCCACATCCTCCCATTCTAGCTGCCATGAAAATACTATTGTTAACTGTTCCCTGTCTGTCCCAGTAAGTCTCTGCCACTGCTGTTCGTCAATGTTAAGGGCTTCTAGAATATAATCTTCTCATATTACCCCTATAACAAAAAGGGAAAATAAAGGACAGGGATATTCAGGAGCTTCCTCTGCGTAATGGTTATAACACAGACTGCCATGATTCTTTTATGATCTGATGACCTTTTATCGTTTACACCTTACATTTTAAATATAACTTGTAAAAACTGTGACCTGGGTCTGGTTATTCGAACTTCCTGTGACTGAATTTCTGCTTATCGATCAGGCATGGTGATGGTAAGGTTGTTGAAGAGATTATGAGTTAATTTGTGTAAATCTCTTACTCCAGGGCCTGGTGCATTGTAATTGGCATAGAAATTGCAATAATAATTTATAATTTTTACTCTCTCATTCATGGAGGTTTCACATAAAAGTATCTGCTTTTGCATAATCTCACCAAGTCATGTCTCTCTTAAATTGGTGGTTTTGACTTATTTTCTGAGCATGGTTAGTAGTCCAGGAAAATAAACCACATATAATATACTTGCTTCTGCTGTTATGTTTAAATAAGGCACTCGGTATAATTTTTGAGATGGAATAACCAGTATTTTGGTCTCCATTTTCCTTTTCTTTTTTCCATACTTTTTTTAAAGATTTATTTATTTATGCATACAAGAACTGGGGTATAGGCCAGTGTGCGGGAGGGTGAGAGGATTCACCAGAGACAGAGTGGGGAACAGAACAGGCGGAGCTATTGAAATAAGCTGCTGAGGGCCTCCCTGGTGGTGCAAGGGGTTAAGATGCCAGTAAGCAACCCACATGGTGCAGCAGGTCTCTCCTGACTCTCCTAACTTGCCTGCTGCTACCCTCAGCAGTGTATTTCTTTTTATCTGCCTGTTCTGTTCCCCACTCCATCTCTGGTGAATCCTTCTGCACCTCTGGCCTGTACCCCAGTTCTTGTATGCAGGAATAAATAAATCTTTTTAAAAAAAGAAATAATCTGCTGAGGGGAGCAGCGGGCGAGACAGGAGAGGTCTGCCGCGCCATGTGGGTATGTCCCAGCCTGCCGGGATCGAACTGATACTGCAGAGGCTACAGACAGCTTCACAGCGCTGCACCCAACCACCTGTGCCACCAAGAAGGCCTGTCTTTTTTCCACACTCTTGAGAGTTAAGTTGTAGACCTCCTTCACTGAGCTGTATGCATTCATATTTAAAGATTGCCATTTTTATTCTTTCTGTCACATTAAATATCAAATAGCAGACAAAATACCTAGTACAATTTCATTCATGAGTAATAAAATATTATCAGAAACTTTTTCGGAAGGTCTGTAGCTATCCTCTTTGTCAAAACATAAGTATGTAATAAAATTAGGAAAATGTCCATGAAAAACTTTCAGAAGGGATATTATATATTAGGTAAATGAATTATATCAGATAAATCAAATTCCTGAGGTTGAGTTGGTACAGATTTAGTCTTAGGAAACTCTCACACAACAGCTGTTACGATAAATTCTAATTACCAAGAAGATTTAATGATTACTTTCCATGACGCTATGCACCATGACATCATTACCATAAATAGGAAGAACTTCTCTAAATATCTTGTAATAAATGGGATTTCTGATGCTTGGCAAACACTTATTCCAAACTCCCAGCTTTTGACACATAAATGTGTCTCTGACTGAGTATATAATTTTGCCTATCAGTTTACATATTTAGACCAATGAAGGAACATGAGAGCATAACTTCCTAAATAATCACTCCTCACAAAAGGAGGTTCCACTTGGAATGTTGGACAGCATGCTAGGGGGATATTAGAGGTACTAATCTGTTGGCCACAGGCTGTGATCAGTACAGTGGACACTGACCACAGCTGGCAAGTTGCTGGAGTAGTCTTGCTTATTTCACAGAGCTGATCCTGTAGTGCTGCAGAAGAGGGAAGTGGGAAGTTTTGTGAAGGAGCCTAATGAGACAAAGATGGGGAGGTTTGAGGGGATTGTATGTACCCACTATGTACTCAACTATGTACCCACAGACACAGCCACCCTGTACATCTTCAAGAGGTGTGTGTATTACAGCATCCTGTGGGGCATGTATTTGAAAAGCTGGGTGATAAGAAAATACCCTTAGTACCAAAAGGAACTTTGAACACACAAATCTCCTTTTTTTTTTTTTTTTTGCATGGAAAGCTCCTTTTTGTGTTTTTGTTTGTTTGTTTGTTTTGCATAGAAGAACTGGTGTACAGGCCAGAGGTTCAGGGGGGTGAGAGGATTCCCCAGAGACAGTGGGGAGCAGAATAGGTGGATCTACTGAAATCCACTGCTGAGGGGAGCAGTGGGGGAGACAGGAGAGGTCTCCTGCGCCATGTGGGTCAGCTCCCTGACCAGGGATCGAACTTAGGCTGTAGGGGTGACAGAGCTGAGACCTAACCCCTAGCTACCAGAAAGGGCCTTGAAAAAAATCATAGGCTCCCAGCATCTTCCACTAAAGAATGAGCCACGAGACAGTGCACCCTGGCAAGTCTCCAGGCCACAGTTCTCTGAGCCCTGAGTCCTGGGAGGAGAAGGCCTAGAGATCAGGCCTTATGGGGCTCAGCTATGGGCATGATGATGGGACCAGTCTAATTATCCCTCCTTTGTACGATTAAATTGAATCCAAGGACTTCCTCATTCATTTCCAACCACATTATGTTCACGCATTTGCGTGTTGCCGCCTTCAGTAAAGCAATGTGCTTGCAGTGAGAACCGCACACCAACATCCTCCTTGGGACACACATTGAACTAACCAAGGTCATTTGTGATTGTTTTTTCATTGGTTCCATCATCATCGTCTTCATGCGCCTTAGGAATAATCTTGGAAGCGATGTTATCACACCAGGTTCTCATTGCTTTTGAAAGAAAACATTTAACTTCTTTCTATTGTCATCTTCCTTTTGGTGACCACCTTGGAGTGGGGACATGGGCAAGGGGAGATATTTAATAGAGCACAGACCACACGCAGTGCCCTCTACTGTCTATTTTAAATGTCCTCTAACAAAGATCTCACTCCCTGCAGGACGGTTCTGTTCACCCTGACGTCTGTGGTGGTGCTTGTCATCACGACTGACTGGATCAGCTGGGATAACTTGAATCGGGGATTTCTGCCCAGTGATGAAGTTTCCAGAGCATTCCTGGCCTCTTTCATCTTGGTCTTTGACCTACTTATTGTCATGCAGGTATGCATCTTTGTATTCCCATTCTCTCTGAAGTGGCTTAGTGCTTTATTCTCAGGATAATCAACACCATAAGGGGTGAAAGGCTCCATAAAACCAGAGAAATGCCAGCTTTACAGTTGCTATTAGTGGGGTCATCTCTGATCATATTTTCCACCATTTTACTGGGAGGAAAAGCCAAATGGGCTTTTACAAGGAGGCCACCACCAAAATTCGTTGTCTGAACATTGCAAGGTAGTCACCTAGAAAACAGGCAGCTTGGTGGCATTTTCTGCCAAGACTTTGGGGGGAAAAGACAAAACAAAAACCACTGTCATTTAGTTGAGGATGGAGCCAAGCCAGCAAAGCAGGGATAAACAGTTTCCAGAGCAGCTCGGGGTTTTATAGTGGTGGAAATAGGATGATGTAAAAATGCTTTTCTCTGGTTATGGTAATGATCACTTTCAGTCTTCACCAGAGGTCATTCCATTTTCATGTAAACAATATTTCTGCCCTGCTTAGCAGCTGATAGTTTGTGCCATAGCTTTGCCCTGCCAGCACTTCCATGTAATCTTCTGTTGTAAATGCTTTGGGATATAAAGTGCATTCCTTTGAACAGAGCAGAAAGAGAGACATTAACTGTTTCTTGGTCCTTTATCCTGCTCATTTAATGTCCATACAATTGCTGGACATTTTCTTACTCTTTTCATGGGGTGACTTGGCGGAGAACAAGGGTTCTCCTCCTGATGTGTTATATGGCACGAGAACAAAGGCTAAGTGAAAGTGAACACCACTGTGTTATGAATTTATGTGAAAGTTCACGGGACAGCTGCTTGTTTTCTCATTTCCAGATGACAGAGGCCTTTTTAAGAGATATTCTGTAATACCTTAAAAGAGAATTTGTCTTTTTTTTTTATCTTGGTATATAATATTAATAGCTTGGGTATTAGCATCAAGCTGGTTTCTAACATGTTTACTATTTTAATGAATGACCACTTTAAAACTTATTTGAAAACATAAATTTAAATTTTTGTTTCTTGTAAAAATTGGTGTGTTTCTTTTGTGTGGTATAGTTTAGCATAATTGAGAAAATCCTAGAACTTGAAAGCTCTGGTGGTTTCCACATCTGTCTCCCATTTACCATAGGATCACCTCTGGGTATTTATCAAATTGAACCTATAGCATTTATGCCATCGTTTATTATTCAATAGTCATTTAAAGGTTATTTTTAGCTTCTAACTAATATGCTTTCTATATTCGTATCTGCTCTGGGCAAGTAAGCCCTTGGTACTTCTTCGAACTTCTCTTTAGTCAAAGATATTAGAAGTCAGGTGGACCACTATGTTTTGAAATTACTTATGTTTGAATTCATCTGAGCACAAATCATTTCCTGAAATTTTTTACTATCATCCACCACCATTTACCTCTTTATGTAGTTTTAATTATTCTTTCAAATACTTGCTAAAATCAAGGAATTGACGTGGAAAAATGTACCACATACCATAATATGGACTGAAAAATATAACTTTGCCATAGATGATAGAAGCAAGGAAGGATCATTGCAATTTAAAGGCAGAATAAGCAGAAATGGGAGGGGAAAGACAAAATGTGCATCCAAGAAGGACTGAACTTTCAGAGTCCTCAGAGGAAGTGACTGAGGATGGAGAGTTGGTGTTGAGCAGTCTATCAGTTTGGACCATTTTGGTTATAAGTAACAGTAACCCTGCCCAGCTAGCCGAACAGACGGTAGAGTGTATCACGGGACAGTAGAGTGTGTCACAGCTCCGTACAGATGCCGTCATCAGGGAGGAGAGACACAGCTGCATTTTAGAAGCATCTGAAAGCAGACCGAAGTGTAATGAAGAACTCGCACTTAGGTTTTATTCTGACTCTCATTTTTTTTTTCTATTTCTCACATATTTGTATCTCTTACTACAAGGCAGCTTTTCCAACTTCCTGATGTACATGAGTACACCCAATGCCTCGCAGAGAGACCATTCTCCAGCTCTCAGACCTACTTACAGGTTCCTGGGGAAGGAGCTAGATTGTTCTGTGCTCATTAATGAATTATCTGGGGGTGAAACAATCCCAAAGAAAAAGTGGGAAAGGTTAGGTCTCAAAAACTACATTAATACAACACAAAGACAAGTCAAAAATTAGGTTTCTTTTCTCTCCTGAACGCCGGTCACCCAGGTGTGCTCTTCATTCATCTTTTCTTTTTTTCTTTTTTTGCATTTTTAGTTTGTGATTCTTATTTTTTTATTTTTTTATTTTAACATTTATCTTTTTAAAAAAAAAAAATATTTATTTATTTATACAAGCACTGGGTACAGTCAGAAGTGTGGGAGGGTGAGAGAATTCACCAGAGCCAGAGCAGGGAGCAGAGCAGGCAGAAGGACCGAAGTTCACTGCTGAGGGGAGCAGCGGGCGGCAGGAGAGGTCTGCGCGCCATGTTGGACCCTCCTCTTGTGGCCGAGGAGCAGCCGGGGATCAAACGGGCACTGCAGAGGCAGCAGGAAGCTTCGCAACCCAGCGCTCAACCACTGCGCCACCAGGGAGGCCCTGATATGTGCTATTCTTACTGGTGTAAGGAGGCATCTCAATGTGGTTTTGATTTGCATTTCCCTGATTATCAGGGATGTTGAACCTTTTATCATATCCCTGTTGATCATTTGCATTTCCTCTTTGGAGAAATGTCTTTTGAGTTCTTCTGCCCATTTCTTGACTGGATTGCTATGTCTCTTGTAGCTGAATCTTTCATGTTTCTCCCTCCCCATCCCAGTCCTGACTCTGTCCTCCTATAAAATGGTTTCCTGTGGAGTCTTTGCCTCCAGATGTCCCCTTGTCCCATGCACTCCACACCGCTCAAACACATAACCTTCCAGACTGATACACCATGTTGTACATGTCACTTCTCGGTCACAGATATTCTCAGTGTCTCCTCATTGTCCAAAAGCAAAGTCCAGACTCCAAGAGATTTTTCTCCATGCTCCCGTGGCCTGACCTTGGCTTTGTTTTCTCTAACTCAAAGGAAGTCCATAGGCTCTGTGGGCTACCCTCCCCCAGAGCACACCCTTCCCCCCAGTGTGCCTCTCCCCCAGAGAGACCATGTCCCCAGAGCATGCCCCCTCCCCTGAGCATGTTCCCTTCTCTAGTGCTGTCCCCCTCAACCCAAGTCCTTCCCCCCAGAGCGGCCCAGGCCCCCAGTTGCCCTTCCCCCAGAACCTGTCCCAGTCCCCAGAGCATGCACAATGCAGGATGCCTTCAGATCCCGAGCTGCATCTCTCCCGCTTTGCTCATCTAGATCCCAGCATTGAAGTCCATTTCAACTTCTTCTTCTCATAAATCCACATGACTGCTTCTTTCTTGGAAGTCCTGCAACACTTTTAGCCTGGACTGCAAATCAGCACTTTTTCCTGCTCTGTAGAGCAGGAGCCATAGCTCAAAGCGATATATCCCTATATCCCTGGGGTCTCCCCAGCACAGTACTGTGCATGGGCAATGGTAGGTTCACAGTAATAACTGCTGAGTGAGGGTGAAGAAGTGGCAATTCAGTGCGGAGTCTTGTGCACATTCCATCCCCTTTGGGAATATTATGTTAAATTTCCAGAAACTAGCACAGGCAGTCAGTGAGTGGATTTAAGGAAACTGAGCTTCAGAAGGTTTACATAGTCAAGATATTGAAAAATATATAACAGAAATGTCCTAATAAGTCCATAATCAATAAATATTGATCTGATCCATTCCATCATCTCATATTTCAGACAAGAGAAAAGTAAAAAAGGTAGCAAAATTAATGGAAATGGAAAGAACTGTTTCCTTAAAAAGCTCATCCTCATTAGAATTATTTAAGTGATTTCAAGCAAGTCATCCCAGGTTTTCTAATGGTAGGGAAATTCAACATATACTATAAAAAGATATTTAAGTAGTTTGATTTTAAAATAGGAAAGAAACCACTAAAGTATTGCCACTATAAATATATTTTAACAAAATTGGTGTGTCAATTCTGACTTCTTTTTAAAAAGAGTAATTTTTATTTTGCGAATATTCATTAAATGGGATTTTATGCATATTTGTTAGGAAAAATATGTGTTGTGTCATGTTTTTCTGCTGTTTTAGTGAAGTCACTAGAACTAAGATATAAACAGATGTCAGTGAAGTATTGATAAAACATGATTTATGTAAATCGACCATTATTATAGAATATGGACAGTAAATTGTAAAGAACACTTTCCTCTGAGAAAATGGTTTTTCAAAATCTGTTAAGTATTTATAATTATGTCATTTGATTCTTATATACTCATTTGATTTCTTACCTAAGTGTTTAATGAGCTGCTATGTCCCCCACACTCATCTCTTCCTTTACATTAAAGAATAAGTTTTCTCTAGGACATATAAGAATTAAAGATATGATGTAAAGTGGAGTAAGCAAAAACAGAGATCAATGTGATATAATCATTGGGGAAACTTCAGAGAAAAGAGGCGGCTAGAATTTGAAATGCAGGGCCTCCCTGGTGGTACATGGGTTAAAGTCTAAGCACTGTCAAGCTATCGCCAGCCACTGTGGCCTGAGTTTGATCCCAGATTCCTCTAGATGGCTTCTCTAATAATCATGTGTGTATCTCAGATTTGGATGGATAGATAGCTAGATGAAATAGATTTGTAATATTTTGACTTGATATGCTTTACGATGGTAAGGGAAATCTTCTACAAGAGGGGTCTTTAAGGAGAAGAAAGATTCTGGGGTCACATTTTGGTGAATCCTCATCAATATTTACTTTTTCAGTGCTTTCTTTTTCTCTTGTAATTTGGCTAAATGTCTTTGGTGTACCTGGATACTAATGATTGAGCTTCTTAAGGAGCGGAAATGTGTTTTTCTATTTTTTATTCCCACAGCTAGCTCATACTCAGTGCATTGCAATTTTACCATAAATATTTTGCCGAATGAAAGAGTGAATAAAAGGATGATCTATAACACTATTTCAAAAATGTCAGAGACATGAGATTTTTCTTATTTTAGAAAG